ATTCTCAGAGATCGCATTCGCACGACCCTCAATGTCTGGGGTGACGCAGTGGGTGCTGGGATAGTCAACCTGATGTCACGTGATGATTTGCTTGAACTTGACGCACAGAAAGCCGAAAATGGCGATGGTGAGGGCGATTTCCGTAGTCGTACAACCAATGGCAAATTCGATGAGGAAGCAGGGGGAAAGAGTACTGGATCAGCTCAATTGCTTAACGAGACGGCGTTTTAATATCGATATTATTTGTCCTTTAAGCTACAATCTATTGCAAAATAACGTAAAAAAACACCCTCTATGAGGGTGCTACTTCAAACTCCCCTCCCTATTTGTAATTTTGTTTTCCGCTTATTTGAAAATGGAATCCGGCGCTTGAAAATCGTCCTGGATGAACGGTTAACTTCTTTCTAACAATGCAATATAGGGAAAGACGCAAAGTGTTCCATTTTGAATAAGATTGTAGTAGACTCCTCTCCATCAATCTTATATAGAAAACCTAAGAATAGTGTAAGCTAAAATCTCTTAGATCTAAGGCGCAGCGTCGAATGCTAAGTGTTTACATCAAAAAGCAAGTGAAATGATAACAAGAAGAAAAAACATTTGTAGTGTAGAACTAGCTCGACATAATGGCATCGCTACACATTGGCCATTCCCGTTATACCTGTGATAAATTGAAAATCAAATAATGATAATAGTGTACACTGAACAATGTAGAGCAAACGCAGGAAAACCATGAAATAAAATCAGACTAAATACTAACAACTAGCGACTATTTAGAGACAAATTGTCAGTATGAATGAACCAGAACAAATTAAAGATGAATTAAAAATGGTCCCATGTTGATTCACCTTCATTGTGTTCTGGTTCATTGATACTGATAGTCGCTATTTGTTAGTATTTAGTCATTGGTTTTATTTCATGGTTTTCCTGCGTTTGCTCTACAACGATTTGATACACGATAAATAAAAAACAAACAAGCAAGACGATGATAAACTTCATCAGTTTATCAATGAAATAATGGTGATGTAAGATGAGAATCAATCAGAATCGTACGACATTTTGTGTGTTTCGTAACTGTTAGTTATCTAGAGCGGATTTCGTATGCGTGGGAAACGGACGGTACTGTACTGTAACCGTAATCGTACTGTAACCAAATTCTAGTGCCTCATTGCTTCACAAAAATTGTGCAGGCCAGGTCCGGTAACTGTGAGCCAATTGTGCGGTAACTTCTACCGTACGTTTCCCACTCGTACGAAATTGACTCTAGAAAATGATAGGCATTTCCTTTCAACAAAATTTCATTGTAAAAATACCATGCAAAGATTCTAGTTCAA